GCCTGGGATGACACTCATGACCCAGAATAGGCAGAGGCCTGCCCACCCGGGGCTCAGGGTGGGACCAGATCCTCACTGAAATCGCTGACATGCTGCCATAGTGTCCTCAGTTTCTCTGAAGCCCCCTGCAGGGCACCAGCCCCCCTTCAGCAACAACTTCCAGGGAAGGCAAGAACAGAAGGGAGAAGGGAGAAGGTCGGGAGGCCGTAGGGACAAGTCCTTACACAGATGCTTGACACTCCTCGGGCAGAAAATCTGCTTTTTTTTTATCCTTGTTAAAGACACCTCCACGTGTTTGTTCAAAATTAAAGAGGCAAATATGGCTGCAGCCTCATGCTCCCCCTTCCTGCTGCTGCCAGGCCTGACTCCTCGGCACATGCGGCCACGCACGTGTCTGGTTCTAACACATATGAGCCCTTGCCAAGCAGGCCACACCTGGAGCAAGGGAGGTGAGTCAGAAAACAAATCCTCGTGCAGACAGGCCCCCGGGCTGGACAGAAAGTGCAGGACTGGCAGTGTCTTGAGACCCGGGGTGGTGACAGGTGGCTACTAGAGCACGGCAGGCACCAAAGGAGAACTGGGTGTCCCCCTCCTGCTGCCCACCCAGCACTGTCAGCTGGAGTCACTCCTGAAGACAGAGGAAGGGCCAGCAACCTGTGAGACAGGGGCAGGCAGAGATGTGGGGCAAGAGGGCGGGCGAGGACAGAGCTGTTGTGACACACGGAGAACAGGCAGCAGACCTAGGCTGAGGTCCAGGAGCCGCCCCGAGGATATGCTTCCTGCCAGAGTTCTCCACCCAGCCACTGCCCTGCCTGTGTGGCCAGGACGGCTCCCCGTCGTCAGGGATAGCCACACCCGCAGTCTATCCCTAGCCCACACCCAGCCACGTGCCAGTCAGGCCCCAGCAGGAGTCAGGACGGAGGAGCTGCAGGACTGGTCTGGGTAGAACCCAAGGAACTGAGGCCTGGTTCCTCCCTACCCAGCCTGCCTGTGGGCCCCGGAACTCACCAGAGTCCCTCTTGAGGAGCCGGGCTGGTAGTCTGGGGGCAACTGGGGCTCTCCGCTTGGCACTCTGCTCATTCCAGTGCTCCCGCCAGTGCCGCAGCTGGGAGTGGATGAAGCGCCACATGAGCCAGGCTTGGGCAGCACACACGAGCAGCAGCACACAGAGCCTGCAGGGGGCGGAGGCGTGGGCTCAGGGCCGGGCTCGTGCCTCTAGCCCGGGGCAGGGGAACGGAGGGGGTAGGAGCCCTGCAGCCAACTGCCACCCTCACCAGCAGGAAGAGTGCAGGCTCAGGGCCCCTCTCTGCTCTAGCGCACTTGAGGGGTGGCAACAGACTCGGGGCCAGCCAGACGGGGAGGAGGAGGCAGCGGACAAGTCCGCCTCGTCACACCGCCCTGTGC